GGCTCGTCTGCTTCGACGTAGAGACTGTCAACAGGAGAAGGTTTAAAAGATCCAAGACAAAGTCTTAGACCTTGGTGATGGACAGAATCAAGTAGTTTTAGATTGCTTTTGCAAGCTCCACCATATACGATGGAGCCATAATCAAGTTTCGAACGGACCAATGATCGATATAGGTGGAGGAGGGTAGCATGATCCCCTCCCCACTTTGAGTTGGAAACATCTTTCAACAAGTCAAGTGCCTTCAGGCATTTAGTTTTAAGGGATTTAATATGTGGCAGAAACGTTAAGTGCGAGTCAAAAATTAAACCCAAGAACTTGACCTCCTTAACAACTTTGATGGGTGTGCCATTTAGGGATAGTTCAGGGTCTTTATGCAGTTTGTATTTACGGCAGAAATGTATACAATTAGTATTGGATTTAGAAAAGTTAAAGCCGTTTTCCAGACACCATTTATTTATTTTGTTTAAACACAACTGCAGTTGTCGTTCAAAAGTATGCATATTTTTACCACGACTAGAAATATTAAAATCATCCACGAAAAGTGATCCATCGATTGAATCATTTAAAACCTTGGGTAAACTGTTGATCTTGATACTAAACAATGTGACAGACAAAATACTGCCTTGAGGGACACCCTGATCCTGATTGTAATGATCAGACAGGGTAGATCCCACGTGGACTTGAAATTGTCTGTTATTTAAAAAGTTAGCTATAAACTGAGGCAAACGGCCTCGCAATCCAAAGCCCTGTAAATCTTTTAAAATGCCATATTTCCTCGTAGTGTCATATGCTGTTTCAAGATCAAAAAAGATAGACACAGTGTGTTTTTTATTAATTAGAGCATTTTTAACAAATGATTCCAAACGCACTAGGTGATCGACAGTACTTCTGTTTTTACGGAAACCACATTGTATATCTGTAATAAGGTTATTTGTTTCCAAGTACCAAACAAGTCGATTATTTATCATGGTCTTGGTATTATGGTCCATGGTCTTGCAAACGCAGCTAGTTAGTGAAATTGGCCTATTATTGGAAGGATCAGTATGATCTAGTCCAGGTTTAGGGATGGGCACAATCATAGCATCGCACCACGACGAACGAAATTTTCCAGATGTCCAAATATCATCAAAAATAGATAAGAGCGTCTCTAAACATGATTCTGGTAAGTGCTTCAGGAGTTGATAATGTATGCTATCAGCTCCGGAAGCAGTATCATGAGCCTGATCAAGAGCAGTATAAAAGCTCGTGGATTGAAAAGGTTTCGTTGTAATCTTCCCCATTATCTGAATTGAAATTAATAGCTTTCTTTTCTTGCTGTTTTTGATATTTTTGGAATTCAGGTACATAGTTAGATGAGGAGGAATGTTTGGCCAACGTCTCACCAAGTTTAATTGCAGTATATGATTTATCAATCAATAGCTGATTCCCATCTTTGAGATGGTGAATGCCAGATTTAGAGCCCTTACCCTTGATTTTCTGGATCATATTCCACACCTTTGATATCGGTGTGCGCGAATTGATTTTTGAGACATAGTTTCGCCAAGAGTGGCGTTTATTTTGCTTGAAAGTACGTCGTGCTTTAGCGTTTAAAATTCTAAATTTGTCTTAATTGTGGACCATAGGATGGTGACGGAAATAATGCTCAGCTTTCTTCAGTGCCTTCCTTGCCCGTTTGCATTCGTCGTTCCTTTAAACCATGGTTTTCGTACGTGTGGAAGTGCAGAGGACTTTGGGATACACTCGTCAGCTATGTGATTTAGTTCATCTGAAAAACATTGTATGGCATCAGGAATATCATGAAAAAGTTCAGGCTTGAGTTTGTCAGCACAGAGGGCTTAATATAAAGGCCAGTTAGCCTTTTTAAAATTCCATCTTGATGATTGAGGAACATCTGATGGATTCACGGATTTTAGTATTGTTGGGAAATGGTCACTTCCACAGATGTCGTCATGGACCGACCATTCCAATTCACTCAGTAGGTTAGAGTCAGTAATAGACAAGTCAAGAGCTGAATATGTTCCTGTGCCAGGATGTAAATATCTCTGTGAACCGTCATTATAAATGCATAAATCATTATTTAATATAAAATCCTCTAGTAATTTACCTTTGGTGTTTGTATTATTACCACCCCAGAGTGGGTTGTGGCCATTTAAATCCCCCATGATTAAACAGGGTTTAGGTAGTTGATCATAAAGAGCTTGCAGATCGGTTAGTTGAACAGCTGATGATGGCAGAATGTACAAAGGGCATAAAGCAAATGCAACCTGTAATGTGAGTCGAACTGCAACGACTTGAAGATTTGTTTTAAGTGGAACTGAGCTATGGATAATATTGTTGCTCACCAGGATGGATGATCCACCAGAAGCTCTATTACCCGGAGGAGACAAACAGTGATATGCATTGAATTGACGGAGGTCAAAAGTATCTGTCTGTTTCAGATTCGTTTCTTGTATGCAGAACGCTGAAGGCTTAAAATCGTGGACAAGTAACTGTAAATCGGCTAAATTAGTCCTCAGTCCTCTACAATTCCATTGTATTATGTGTGAGGACATTATGTCTTCGGAGGATGGACTGGGGATCTACCCCTCACCTTCCTTGAAGGCGACAAGCTATGTGTCCTACCATGGTCTTGTTCGGACACATCCATGTCGTCAAGGGATCCAAACTTATTAAAGATTTGGATCGGGTTTTTTGCCCCTTTTGGGGCTCTGCCACTTTGATTCCTTCTCGACTGTTCAGTGTTTGGTTTTGACTTGCTTTTAACGGTTGCCTGTGATTTAGATGATTGTTTCTGAGATGCAGATGTATCAATCTCAGAAGATGCTTTGGACTGAATGATACTTTTGGAGGAAGACATGGTTTGGGAACAGGACGTCACTTGTGAAGGCTTCACCTGGATTTTAGTAGACAGCAACGTGGGAGCAGAAGTGGAAGCCCAGGTATAATCTGTCTGGCATCCGACTGAAGTACATTCAACTTGTTTTTGTTTCGAGGCTTTAGTAGAAGCAGAGAGGGTGGTAGCATAAGTCGGACCTGACTGTTCTTTTTCGCGTCATAGAATGAAATATTGCGCTCATGTTTCACCCGCGAAATTTTAGATTGCAATTTCCATGTAGGGCACTCTTTGGATGAAGACGGGTGGCAACCAGAACAGTTGACACACACAGGAGGTTTGTCACAAAGACTGCTGTCCTGACATGTTCCAGCGCATCGTTGGCAAGCAGCTGGACTGTGGAAAGACTTGGACCCATGACCGTACGTTTGACAGTTAAAGCATCTCAAGGGATTAGGAATAAATGTATCCACCCTCAAGTTGCAATAACATGCTTTCAGAGATGTGGGATGAACTGGAAGACAAAAAGTGAATAAATAGGTATTTGTTTTGATAATCTCGTTATTCTTTTTGACCGTGAATCGTGAAACATCAGTAACTCCTTGTGACTGCAATTCTACCACGATGTCAATTTCATTCATATCAGCAAGACAACGTCCAATATCACGGACGATGCCTTTGCTTGTATTCAATGTCTTGTAAGGGGGACACCTTAACAGGAACATTTGATAACAATTTTGTGTTGAGCAGAATTTGAGATTGTATCTGTTTCTTACACTCAATGAGCAGAGAACCAGATCGTAGCTTTTTAATCTCCTTTACATCACCGGCTAAACCTTCAATGCCCTTTGCCACAGCAAATGGGTTCAACTTGAGAGGGCCCCCATCAGGAGCACACATGACGAGGAAATGAGGCCAATTGTAAGGGCCTGTGAGAGATGTAGGAAGCTCATCCTCTGAGGAAAACGAATCATCGGATACGTAGGAACGTTTTTTGTGTGTGGGTGCCATGGTAGAAATATATATGTTTCACCCTCCTAGATCCTCACCCACCACGGAGTGTCAACAAGGACGATGTCTCATGTCTATGGATCTCCAAAAGACGACACCAAGGATACTAGGAGGGTATACTCAAGCAGGAAAAATCTTAAAAAGATATGTCCTACCGGATTGGCCCATGAGCCACCGCCTTCTGGCATAGGACTCTAGGCAAATTAACAAATCAGTAATCATATTTTCACCGAATATTTATCGCCAAGATCAAACCATATATTTTGGAAAAGATCAATCAAATTTTGTGCAACGTACTTACCATGCACAGGGCTTGGCATAACCAGCCGATTGATTGAACCGGGCCAGTTCAACCACCCGTCTAGATGAAGTAAGGGCCGAAGTGGTGTGGTGGACAAAGAAACACTGTTCCTGGAACCAATGCCCTCAACCACCAGAATCCCGTCCTCCACCGACACAGGGGCGCAACCCACGGCAAACGGGTCGGTGGACCAAATATACCCCCGGGTCCACAACAGGGGGTTGAAGAGCGCTTAGCGTTACCCAGCACCCACCACGAGGAGGTGGCTCTTCACGGTTTCCATGATGATGATGAAGACATCATTCTGATGGGTACTTAGCATCTACTAATAGGAACGGGTGCGTAATCATCAATCGTCTCATCAGCTACCTGTTTAGAAGGAACGACCCCTTTTTCACCTTGTTATTTATAGTTGGCTCAATGTCTGAGGATTCGTCACTTGACAAGGAAGGATCAGAATCTGATCCGAAATCTGAGGTGGAAGCAACACATTGTTCTGCTTTAACACACAATCTGGGTCCTGTATGGACCCTTTGACTGGAGAAATATTAATCATATTGTTACAAAGCAAATAAAAAGGTCAAAAACGTATGTACAGCCGACACACGTGTCTTAACTGTTTGAGGCCATTATGAAGAAGGGTTTATGGATAACTTGCATTGCCAGATCTTGCTTAGCGAGACTTTATTAGATTTAAATATGGCCTACTTCCGGATATATTATGATGTAGATACCAATACCACTTCTACTATGTTTATGACATGAAATTATGAATATTTGGAACACTTAGTCTAATGAAGGTTCGATGCTAATCAGGATTCTAAAATATGGTTTGTTTGCTTGTTTCAGAACTTAACTGCAGTCAAAATTACCAATTGGTATTATGGTAACATGTCTCTTGGAATCTGAAATGCTGTACATGGAACAAACTATGAACTTTTGAAGGATGGAAACTGACAAAAAGTTGCCACCAGATGGCACTGTTTCTGCATCCTCCACAAATACAACCAGGGGAAGAGAACAGCCAGGCAAACAACATACCACAACACTGACACCAGATGGCGCTGTGGCTGGATCCCCTGCAGGTTCTTCTGTGGTGACCAGGAAAAGAAAGAAGCAGGGGCGACAACGTACTACAACACTGACACCAGGTGGCGCTGTGGCTGGATCCCCTGCAGGTTCTTCTGTTGTGACCAGGAAGAGAAAGAAGAAGGGGGAACAACATACTATAACACTGACACCAGAAGGCGCTGTGGCTAGACCTTCCACAGATACTCTCACTGCCACAGAGGCAGGTCAACAGCAGGGGAAACAACCCACTACAACACTGACAACAGATGGCGCTGTAGCTAGGCCTTCCACATATACTGTCACTGCCACAGAGGGAAGTCAGCTGCAGGGGAGACAACCCACTACAACACTGACATCAGATGGCGCTGTGGCTAGACCTTCCACAGATACTCTCACTGCCACAGAATCAAGACAGCAGCAGGGGAGACAACCCACAACAACACTGACACCAGATGACACTGTGGCTAGACCTTCCACAGATACTCTCACTGCCTCAGAGGAAAGACAGCAGCAGGGGAGACAACCCACTACAACACTGACACCAGATGGCGCTGTAGCTAGACCTTCCACATATACTGTCACTGCCACAGAGGGAAGTCAGCAGCAGGGGAGACAACCCACTACAACACTGACACCAGATCGCACAGTGGCTAGACCTTCCACAGATACTCTCACTGCCACAGAAGCAAGACAGCAGCAGGGGAGACAACTCACTACAACACTGACACCAGATGACACTGTGGCTAGACCTTCCACAGATACTCTCACTGCCTCAGAGGAAAGACAGCAGCAGGGGAGACAACCCAAAACAACACTAACACCAGATGACGCTGTGGCTAGACCTTCCATGGACACTGTCATTGTCAGAGAGGGAAGTCAGCAGCAGGGGATACAATCCTTTTCAGCAACCACACACAACTACCTACCAGGTGAGGCTGTTTTCAAAACTTGCATTTGCATTTCTTTTTAGCAAAAGTGAGGTGACGATTGGGTGCGTGCATGTGTATGAGTATGTGTGTCTGTGTGTCTGAGTCTGTGAAAGTAATCAAGGCACAATTATTCACCAAGTTTGATCCCTTGGGTGTAAAAGAATTCTGTGACTTTATGTTCACATTGAATATTTATATTGATTATGTTTTTGGGGTTGCCAGAATCAGAACTCTAACTTCAGGTTTTGCTAAGGTGGTTCACATATGAGTCTAGCATCATTTCTGAACTTTTTGTCTCTCATTAGTGTGGTAAACATGGAAGACTTGCACCATTTCTTAATATATGTCACTCCCTTACACCCTTTCTCATTCACATCAGTAGAAAGCCTGCAATATTAACATAATTCAAATCTGATCAGCAGATTTTTTTATTTCAATGGATTGTAATGGATTTTTCTTTCTTTAACCCAGGTTGTACAGTTTCACATTATGACATGTCCAACTCCTCCAACATTGCAGTCGGAGACAGAGGACATCGAGGCTGTATATCACAAGGTGGGATAATAAATATAGAAACCTACCTGATGTTTTAAGTAACCTGATGTATAAATGACCATCTGTATAAACGACCTGAAGTTGTCCGATCGAGGTTACAACATCCAAGAGTTCAGTAAAGTTACAAAAACTGTTCTAGACGACATGTGGAGAACATTTCAAATGTCTGCTACGTACATGAGCTGCTGAAAAAGGGCCACCTGTATAGCAATTACCTGTTGTACATAAATCACCGGCTGTATATAAATGACCCGCTCTATTAATGACCCGCTGTATAATTGACTTTCGGTATACATTACCCGCTGTGTAACTGACCTGTCTTATAAATGATCCGCTGTATAACTAACCTGCCTTATCAATGACCCGCTGTATAACTGACCTCTCTTATAAATGATCCGCTGTATAACTGACCTGCCTTATAAATGATCCTCTGTATGACTGACTTGTCTTATAAATGACCCGTTGTATAACTGACCTGCCCTATAAAGATCCGCTGTATACCTGACCTGCCTTATAAATGACCCGGTGTATAACTGACTTGTCTCATAAATGATCCGCTGTATAACTGACCTGTCTTATAAATGACCCTCTGTATAACTGACCTGCCCTATAAATGATCCGCTGTAAAACTGACTTGCCTTATAAATGACACGGTGTATAACTGACTTGTCTTATAAATGATCCGCTGTATAACTGACCTGTCTTATCAATGACCCGTTGTATAACTGACCTGCCCTATAAATGATCCGATGTATAACTGACCTCTCTTACAAATGATCCGCTGTATAACTGACCTGCCTTATAAATGATCCTCTGTATGACTGACTTGTCTTATAAATGACCCGTTGTATAACTGACCTGCCCTATAAAGATCCGCTGTATAACTGACTTGTCTTATAAATGATCCGCTGTATAACTGACCTGTCTTATAAATGACCCGTTGTATAACTGACCTGCCCTATAAATGATCCGATGTGTAACTGACTTGCCTTATAAATGCCCCGGTGTATAACTGACTTGTCTTAGAAATGATTCGCTGTATAACTGACCTGCCTTAAAAATGACCCGTTGTATAATTGACCTGCCTTAAAAATGATCCGCTGTATAATTGACCTGCCTTATAAATGACCCGCTGTATAATTGACCTGCCATATATATGATCTGCTGTATATAAATCAGCTGCGGTGCTTCCTCCATGTTGACCAAATGTTTAGTCATATTAAATTTCAGCTATAAATAGCATTATCTGTGGTATTCTGAATTATATTGAATTCAGAATGGTTTAAAATTTAGCAAACTTGGAATTTCAATTTTAATTTTATGTTTGTTCTCATTTTCTCCAGAGAGCCTCAGCATAAGGATGAACCAGCTCAGTGATATGTTAGTGGCAACCTGTGCTCTTCACGAAGCAGAAGATCTTCTGAAGAGGTACAGCCACGTTGCAATCTGTGGAGCCCCTGGAGATGGGAAGACTACTGCTGCTCTCAGGATCTGTGAAACGTATTTGAAGAAAAACTATCAAGTATTGTTTGTTGAAAATATTGAAGAGTTTGACATTGATGTCATCATTAAGCGAAAGTATGACATGCTGGTTGTGTTTGATGATATCTTTGGTTCTGTTGCATTTCCTAGCAGCTTGGAGAAATTACGTAAAGTGTTCAATGCCTTGGTTGATATTTTACTTCGATTTAAAAGAGACGAGGAGCTAGCAGCCAAGGAAGGAAGAAAGAAGAAGAAAGTGAAGAAAAGTATGATGAAAAACGAAGATGAGAAGCAACGTAATGATGAAACGACACAAAACTGCAACTACAAGCTTCGCTTCATTTTCACATCCAGGAACTACAACTGGAATGAGGGCTGTGCAAGACTCCATCAGTTCAAAGTAAATCTTTTTAAACCTGAAACCATTGTTGATATGATCAAGACATGTTTAACCACTGAAGAAAAGAAACAGATCATGACATTGTTCAGGACCAGAAGCCAAATCTGCAGTATCTCCGATAAGGACATGAAAACTATTACAGAGTTAAAAGACAGCATGTTTGGATATCCTTTGACCTGTAAACTGTACTTCACCAACCAAGCGTTCCAGATACATAGTCTTGGGGACTTTTTCCTGAAACCAGTGATATACCTGAGAGATGACCTTGACGCCATTGTCCGTGAAGGCAGCAGCAGATCGGCTGCTCTGATTCTCCTGGTCCTGTGTGGAGGGAAACTGGACCTTGCCTCCTTGACGTGTGGGACAGACAAGAAGGTCACAGATCTGTTTCATGTTGTAAAGGAGAAGGTAGCACCATGCACCGATACAGACATAGAGAGAGAGATCAGCAATTTTACTGGCACCTACTGTGTAGTGGAGAATCATGTGGCCTCCTTTTTACATCCAGCGATCCATGATGCTTCAGCATGTGCTTTTGGGAATCTCAACAGTGTTTTATTAGTAAAACACTGTTCCCTTCAGTTTGTGTATGAAAGGGTTAGACCAAGCATGACTGATGCTCGACAGACAACCCAAGTTGATGATGTGGAAAACATTATCTACATCACTTCTCGTCTTTACCAATTGATGATCACTAGGTTAGTGAAAGGTATCCGTGAAGATTGCTTTAGATGGACAGTAGGACATCCTGTATTCAGAAACGATGAATTAGCATCCTCACTGATGACGGAACTGGAAAATGACTTGCCTGATTTAGTCCTCCGAAAGGACAGCACATCTGGTGAAAGTTTTCTATACTGGACTTCCCTGTCTAATAATGGTTTACTGTTCAGTCAGTCATTATTACTGATGAGTGAAAAGAAAACTCTTTCCCCTGAAAATGTCAATGACCTGTATGAGAGTATGTCAGGTTGTATAAAGGCTGGCAAGGTGGGGAACCTGCAACGTATTGTTGATGTGCTAAAGCACCATGGAGAATATCATGCAGACAGAAGGATGGTGTCAGACAAAACACTGCTCATAATTGCTGCAGAGGCTGGACAGTTGGATGTGTTCAACTTTCTACTGCAAGAAGGAGCAAATGCTTTACTAAGGGACAATGAAGGGAACAGCTGCCTTCATCATGCATGCAATTCAGGAAACATAGATATTGTGAAAATTGTTGTGGAAAGGTTTCCAGATATGACTGATGATCGTAATAATCAGGGTTTCACATCTACACTGTTGTGTGCTGAGACAGGACAGGAGGAGCCCCTCAAGTACCTGGTGTCACATGGTGCTTCTCTCTCTCTTAAGACATCTGGATTTCAGAGTTGTTTATATGTGGCGTGTGCAAGTGGTCATTTATTAACTGTCAGATATTTGTTGTCTTGTGGACTTATCGACGTTAATGAAAAAAACAATAGTAAACAGAACGCCGATTATGATGGCTGCTGAAGCTGGACACTCTGATATTTGTTGCCTTCTTGTGTCAGAGGGAGCTGATGTTTCACTTTGATAACATGGGCAGAGACTGTCTGATGTATGCATATATTGGAGGTAACATGTCTATAGTTAAGCACCTACTGTCTTTGAAAAAATTCAACATCAACATGAGAGATCGTTTCAGCAGTACACCAGTCATGATGGCAGCTGAAGCCGGACACTCTGACGTTTATGATTTTCTTGTGTCAGAGGGAGCTGATGTGTCACTTACTGATCATGATGATCATGACAGAGACTGCCTGATGTATGCATGTATGGGAGGTAACATGTCTATAGTTAGTCATCTACTATCTAAGAAAATATTCAACATCAACAGGGGAGATTGCGAAAAAAGGACACCAGTCATGATGGCAGCTAAAGCTGGACACTTTGATGTTTATGATCGTCTTGTGTCAGATGGAGCTGATGTGTCACTCACTGATAACAGGGACAGAGACTGTCTGATGTATGCATGTGAAGGAGGTAACATGTCTATAGTTAGGCATCTACTATCTTTGAACAAAATCAACATCAACAGGAGAGATTGGTCCAACAGGACACCAGTTAAGATGGCATATGCAGCTGGACACACTGACGTTTATGACCTTCTTGTGTCAGAGGGAGCTAATGATAACAGTCCAATTTTATAGAGCTAGTTCCATGCTAAATGCATGCTCAAAGCGCACAGTAGAGAGGAGATTCAGGGAAGAAAAGCTTGTATGAAAAGATGGGTTTTAATCCTGTTTTGAAAGCTGATAGAGTTCCTGAGAGACGGATCATCTGAGGAAGAGAGTTCCAGCATGAGGAGGCGGCAAAGGCAAATAAACGTTGGCCATAAGTTGTTGTTTTGACTTTAGACACACAGAGGAGTTGCTTTGATTCAGAGCGCAGAGAACGGCTTACGACATAGTGGTTGAGTAAGTCCGACAGATAGGAAGGAGCTTGATTCTCGAGGCACTTGTAGGTTAGGCAAAGGACCTTGAATGTGATTCTGTGAGAGACTGGAAGCGAGTGTAGATCCCTTAGAATTGGTGTGATATGGTCTCGTTTCTGACTTTTTGAGATAATTCTGGCGGCGGTGTTCTGCCCTGGTTCTTGTTTGTAAGGTACAGAGGAGCACCTCAGTGGACACTATTACAATAGTCCAGTCTCGAGATGACGAGGGGAAGAACCAAAATTTTGGTGGCGTCTACCGTCAGATATTTTCTGATGCACCATGAAAATATGATGTGTTGACAAGATGGTTGACTTGCCCTTCGAGACTAAGCTCTGGATCGATGATGACCCCAAGATCACTTACGGATTCTGATAAGGGAATGTGCACTGTCCAAACGTGAGGGAGTCAAGTCTGCATGTTTCCGTTTTGCTTTGGATCGAATCATCAAATATCCAGTTTTAGAGTCGTTTAATTTCAACTTGTTGACATCATCAAAGCACTCCGAAAGGCTATCTGCAGCAGAGGTGACACTCAAGGCATCAGACTGGATCATCTTGAATCGTCAGCATATTGATGGCGAAGAATATCATGATCTTGAACAACCCTGGCAAGGGCTTTTATGAACATGGTAAAAACCACAGGGCTAGTACCGAGCCTTGGGATACTCCACATGTCAGTTCCTGGGAACCAGATAAACATCCATCGATGAGGACAGATTGCTGTCTCTGTGAGAGGTATGAGTGAAACCACGCTTGGGCCTGTCCTTCGATGTGATATTCAGTCCGAAGTCTCGAGGTCAAGCAGTTGTGATCGATGGTATCAAATGCTGAACTCAAGATCAAACAAACCAATAGGGCAAGATGACCTCTGTCCACCAAGCCTCTAGTCATTGAGGACCTTGACAAGATCTGCCTCGCTGCTGTGGTGCTTTCTATAGGCCGACTGAAACTCATCAAACAATCCATGCTGACCAAGATGCAAGAGACGTTCAGCAGCAACTCTTTCCACAAGTCTTGATAGGAATGATAAATTTGAAACAGGCCTGTAGTTTTTTAAATTGTCAGAGTCTAAGGATGGTTTCTTCAAAAGGGGCTTTACAATTGCTGTTTTCAGAACTGACGGCATCAGTCCTGACTGGAGGCAAGCATTGATAAGGGAGACAATCACCGGAAGAAGAATATCCAATTTGCAGAAGGGGTTTTGTTGGAATCGGATCCAATCGGATAGCAAGATGTTGGCTTAGATCTCGTTGTGAGTTTCAGAACTTCCTCTTCAGTGAAAGGTTCAAATTCACACAGCTGACTGATGGTGATCTGGGAATGTGGATCTGATTGCGTTGATCTATGCGAGTGTTCAAGAATTCTTTCTTGTTTTTAATGTATATCGAAACTAGATTCCTAGCTTTGCAGAAGATTTGTGTGTCGACCTCCAAACATGCCTTGAGCCAACGTCTCTCTGCTACTATCCTTTCAGCCTTAGTCACTATGTCACTTACTGATGACTGGGACACAGATTGTCTGATGTATGCATATACGAGAGGTACCAAGTCTATAGTTAGGCACCGACTTTCTTTGAAAATACTCAACATTCACAGGATACATTGCTCCAACTGTGCACCAGTAATGATTGCACATAAAGATGGACACTTTTTGCATCAGAGCGAGCTGGTCTGTCACTTACCGATGACAAGGGCAGAGACTATCTGGTGTATGTAAATAAGGGGATCACTTTAACATGTCTATAGTTAGTCATCCATTGTCTTTTAACAGTAGAGATCGCGACAAGTGTACACCAGTCATGATGGCTGGACACAAGTTGATGTTTATAACCTTCTTGTATCAGAGAGAGCTGATCTGTCACTTACTGATGACTGATGTATGCATGTTAAAGAGGTAACATGTCTCTTGTTAGGCAACTACTCTCTTTGTACAAAATCAACATCAACAGGAGAGATAGCTTGGACCGTACAATAGTGATGATGGCAGCTGAGGCTGGACACTATGATGTTTATCACCTTCTTGTGTCAGCTCAGGTAACTGAGGCAGATGTACAGATGGAACATTTTGTGACTGAAAAGATTTTGCTTTTAACAGGAAAGATCTGTCTGGTATAATTGAAGAAGATCCTTTTCACAATGTGTTGTTACAAGGAAGTAGGAACACAAAGTATCACTTGATCATGTACATTTGAGATACCTATGACAAATGGGTAAGGTGTCCTACAAAACCAGCCCATATCAGAGTGGTCGTTTCGTTCCAAGTCTATGCTAAAGACTACTGTCAAACAAGGATAAGTTGAGCACCTCCCTGACAATTGGCCTGTATTAGCATGTATGGAGTGCCACCCACTGGCGCTTGCCATTCCGAGCGAAGGCCCCCAGGTTGTCCGCGATCACATGTAGTGCGATGGGTGCAACACGTGGCCTGTCTCAGCAGCTACGTGCGTAATCAATTTCATCATCATGCACTGCATGTGCACTAGCCTACATCTGCTCTACCTTTCACGAACCAAATGGGTTTGCCCATTGCCGTGCACTGCCTATTTCTCGTAAACACATTCTCTGCGCCAGCCCAGCTTATCCTTGTTTGCCAGTAAAGCCTTATGTTTAAATAACAAACGCTAAGAGTAGAATACAGTCTGTAATAGAAACTTGGTCTTCTCATTAAAAGTAATCTCCAAAAGAATCAAGATTGAACAGTGAACTTGAAATTATGAATGCATTGTTTCTCAATTAATATAACTAAAAATCTTATATTTTTTATTAACTTGTATTTTTTTTTGTTACTATACAACCTTTTGTGCAAGCTTCCTTTGTTTAACTTCACAGTCAGCAATATTTCAGTTCGGAAATTGAGGATCACAATTTCAGCTGTATTCTCTCTTTTAGAAATGCACTGATTTAACCAGACCTGGGAAATAATGAAACACGATTTTCAGTTTTCATATTTGTGTAATAAGCCTTTTTGGGCGACTGTACGTACATTTGATAATGTAACCATTTGTATCCAGAGCTTACACAATGATGAGGACAATTCCAGTAATTCTCCATTGAACCAATCATAAGTTGAATGACACCTATAGTCCGTTTGGCTCAAAAGCGGACCGATGAATTGCAATCTAACTCGAAAACTAATAAACATAAAATACTCAATGAAACGCTGATCATAATCTAAACATCAGACCAACTCTGTGATTTGTTTGCAGAATTTATGTTCTAAAATTAATAAGTTGTTTAACAAACTATCATTAAAAGTTTGACACAGTTCACTATTTGTTACGAGGGAGGAGTGCAGAGAAAGGGACAGCCAGGTGTTAGAGAAGCAAGTGCCGACAAAGTTATTGATTCATTAACCTGTGCTGTACCGTCTCCATCCTTTCTCGCACACCTGGCTGTTCCTTTCTCTGCACTCCTCCCTTGCGTCTTGGTTCTCCTTTTAGTCATATCTACAAGCACGATAAGGAGAGGGATGAATAATTTTGTCTATGTTATCGTTATTTCATATAGATACAATGCATACACCCACCCCACCACCCCTAAACACACAATGCATACATGCATACATCCGTCCATCCATCTATCCATACATACATAGGTACACGCTTGAACGCACACAGACACACACAGACACACTCTCTATCTCTCTCTATCTCACACCACGCACACACATACACACACACACACACACACACTCACACACACTTTTGAAGTTATGATGCTATCTGATGGCATTTACAGGCTTTTATCTATAGAAATATCAGTGATTGTTTTGTATCCTTATATATCAGTACAATTGTACCCATCACCTGCACGCATTAACTACATATACTGTACCTGTAAATAAGTTAAAGAATAATTTTTTTAAATTATATTTTTTTGCGTTTATGCACGTGTCTGTGTCCTTGGGATGAACACCTGGTGTGCTAACTTTTCTTTTTGATTTTCATTCATAAACTCTGCTTGTTTTGTTCTATATTATTATTGATTGTTATGGAACCAGTATTTTAGTTAGTTCTAACAAACATGGTCACAGTTCTG